AGCAAAAGCTCGAACCACTCGACAAAAACATACAAGGCCAAAGCAAGCCCAAAGGGTAGTATGTGGAACTAATAAGTCACCCCTCAAATGACAAACCAAAGATATGGTCATGACAGCCGAGCTAACATTATATGTAAGTAAAGAGTTGCAACATCCATCATGATCATCTGTAAATCTGGAGAAAAAGCCCACCTAATGGTGAGACATGACTCCTTGGTAAAATGAAGGAGATGGAGATAAGAAATTAATCAGGACAATCTATGACAGACTGCTAGTCTCCAGTTCTCAAGGGAACAACCACCATCCAGGAATAAAACCTGAAGAAAGATGATTCACAATTTCAAAGGCCAGTTGAATCAGAAGGTCTTGAATAGCCTCTTCCCAATGGTGGCCAGTAATGGGATCCCAAAACAGAGGGAAGGAATGGATATCTGTGAGAAAGGAGGAGAGGAAAGGGATTGGAGGAGAAGTCCATCCAAGAGAACCCTAAGAACCAACTGTTTTGTGACGAAATAAATCGCCAAAGGGGAACAAAGTCACACAATCAAGCTTCCACTGGACCAGAAACTCCAGGGTAGTCACTGGTACTGATGGCATCGTGCCGATCCACATCAAAATAAACAACAAGGTGTGGAACCCCTGTAAGAAGGAACAGGTAAAGACTCAGAGGACAGGGAAGGGAAACAGGAATAGGGACTTGTCGTGACTGTGACCAATGAGTACCCCAAGAAGAAAAGGGGTAGAGTGTTGACACAGGGATTCCACTTGTAATTTCCAAGTGTCCAAGATATGGTCGAAAAATACCACCTAAGAAAAGAAGGGCTAAACAGAATACCTTGAGATAATTGGGCAGCCAACAAACTTGTAACAAAGCCGCATCATGACCCAGAAGATCCCAACAATGGAGAAACCATGCGTGGAAGATGAGATAACAAAGGATAACAAACAAACCAATGTGGAGTTAAGAAGTGAGAGGCTGTCCCTTAAAAAATCCTCAGGATTTCAGTGCATAGTCTCAGAAAGAAGATGTATGTTAGATAGATATGGGAGAAGGGAAGTAAGGGAAGACAAAGGTGTGAAAAATGGGCATGGAAGAATGCACTGGAAAATCAGGGAGTACTCCTCTTACAGGCAAAATAGATCCAAATAACTGAGAATCTAAAAATGGACAGTCTGCATGATGGTATGTCTAGGCAAACCAATTCGTATCCCAAGTGGGCGAGGCATGCTGGCACCCTCAACCAACTGGGAATCAAAATGTGCAGCATGAGCCCTAATGTCCAGAGAAAGGGAAAAAATATCACATACCTGAAAAATTTGGCCAAAAAAGTTGTAGTAGGCCTAGCTGATTCTTCAGGTGGGGCAAGGAAGACAGGGCAAAATCCGGTGGCAGAAAAAAGTTATCAAATCTTCACCAGAATGAACAGGTTTGGATTGTTCGTGAGAAAGTGGGGAAACATCAGAAGAAGGTGTTTTACCCACATAACAATCTCCTGATAAATAATCACAGGTAAGTCCTACAATGGGTCACCCCCACCTGCAGCAGTGGCAAAAGAATGCTCATAGTAGGTATGAAACCCAAACTGGCCACATTAACCACATAATTCATTGGAAATACAAAATCAAATAAAATGTTTGATAGATAATACCACGTGTGAAAAAAATGAAGACTGGAAAATTATTGAAAATAAATTTGTCAGCTGGATAATAAAAAATGAGTAGAAAACCACTTCAGCAATAAAACTGTTAAAGTTACAACGACGTGCGCACAAGAACAAAATCGAAACATCTGAACACAAGCACTGCCAAACTAGAAGTGAAGGTTCAGTAGAGGAGTGTAGAGGGAGTCACATCTGTCAAGTGAGCATGTCATGCTACTATTGGTTAAGAAATGATGCATGATAATTTGCATGAGAGACATGTTGGAATATAGTAATTCCAACATGGGGAGAGCACAAGGCTTGTGGCATGCATAAAGAAAAGTTCACATATCAAGGATCTTTGCTGTTTTTGACTTACATCAATGACAAGATGAAAGAATGGTCAACAAGTTTCTTAAACTTGCAAATGATATTAAGGTCTTGGGTGTTGCTAGCTGTGAAGAGGATGCTGCTAATTTATAAAAGGATTTAGATCATTTAGTGAGTTGGGCAAATAAATGGCAAATGGGTTTTAATTATAATAAATGCAAAATAATGCATGTGGGTTATCATAATTTGAATTATAAGTATAATTTGGATGGGAATAACCTTAACAATTTTATGAAAGAAAGGGATCTTGGTGTAATAGTTGATCAGTCTCTAAAGCCATCCAAGCAGTGTGCTGTTGCTAATGGTAGGGCCAAATATGATCTTAGGTTGTATCTACACAAATATTGAATGCAAATCTAAAAAGGTTATAATTTCATTGTACAGGTTACTGGTTAGGCCACATTTGGAATATTATGTTCAGAAGGGTTACTAGAATGGTACCTGGGATGGAGGGGTTGTCATATGAGGAGAGGTTGAAATCTCTCAAATTGTTTTCTTTTGAAAAAACAAGAGTTAGGAGGGATCTGATTTAGGTGTTTAAGATTGTAAAGGGAATTGATAGTGTTGAAGAATCATCTTTTTTTTCATATTTAACAGTGAGAATAGTAGGACTAGGAGACATAAATATAAATTTTGTCAAGATAGGAGTCAT